CATTTAAAAGTCTCTTTGTAAAGTTTCAGGCTGGGGGATATTAAAACTATGTTAATACAAATTAAAAGAAAATGGTAAGATTCATGTTAACAAAGTGTTCTCAGCATAGCCATTTGGCAGGTGGGGAGGCAGTTCTCACTTTTTCTCACTTGTAATATCCTCTAACTATAGAATGTTCTAGAAGGCAGCATCCTGAGATAAGGAAGGATGCGGTAAGAACAGCTCTGGCTGTTCCATCCTGTAACAGATGTCTTTCAGTTCTTTAGTCAAGTAAACCCACAGGCTGTATCTGCCACGGGCCCTGAGGACTGCCCACCATGCCATGAATCCTGGGCTTCTGCTGTCCCTTGCTGTTGTATATCTGCAAGTAGTAAGCTTGAGTCATAAGGCTCCTGTCTCTGTAAGTGCAGAAATCCAGGAAGTCAGTATATAGGGCACTTGTTACACACCTAGGCCTCACAGGCAGTCTCTAGGACAGCGTTTATCAACCTGTGTGCTGCGGTCCCTTCGGCAAATCTCTATCTCAAAAGATATTTGCATCATGATTCATACCAGTAGCAAAATTACAGTTATGAAATAACTTTTATGGCTGGGGTCACCATAACACAAGGAACTGTTAAAGGGTTGCAGCAGTAGGAAGATTGAAAACCACTGCTCTAGGAGTTAGGTTAGAAGCTAGACCAGACCTGCCCATCTGCATCTGTATATCTTCAGAGCTGACTGTGTACAGCCACCGGGCTACCAGACTACAAGATATCAGAGGTTACTGGTGACATAACTCCTATGATAAATGCATATTAAATAAACAGTCCCTTTGTCCCACCCCTACATCCTCAAGGTCACATGTTCCTACCCCGAAATGCAAGAACTTCTTTCATTTCCTTCTGTTTAGAAATTAGAGACTGCCTGCTACAAGCATGTACCACAGAATACTCAGCAACCATGTGGTACAGAACGTTTCCCTTCCTTGGAAATGAAAAAGGAGGGACCCCTACTCTCCTTTGTAGAACTCAACTTTCCTTAGAGGCCCCAACATTCTGTCTTTCTGTGGCATTAATGATTCTCCTAAAGCCCAGGCTGCCTCAGTGTTCAAGTTGAGCCTAGACTTGAGGACTTTTATTCATTTTCCCCAGGAAACAGAATGTACACAAGTCACTCAAGAAGAGGACAGAGTTGTATTCAGAAACTAAGAAGTAGGTCCTTTCTAGATAGAGCTTCAGATGAGGACATGGCCAACTGACCTCCAGATTTCAGCCTGGAGAGATTATGTGGACTTTCAGGCCCAGGTAAAATATACTAAACTTCTGATCCACAGAAACTATAGGATGATAAAGACATGTTTTCAGGCTGCTAAATGTGGGAGCAGTTTGTTACTGTGAACTGATAGAAATGAATACAGTGTCCTTTGCCAAAGGACATTAAAATAGGAATTCTGTCCATTCACTTACCATTCTTGTCCCAGGAGTGTTAAAGGATGTCTAGGATTCTTGCCTGTGTCCTTGAAGCTAAGAAGAGCAATAGTTCCCATAAGGGCAAAAGACCTTTCCTGGTTGCCGTGAAAAGAACAGTGTGGCCTTGGCTGCTGCTAAAGACACATCTAGGAGAGGACCTAGATCTTTTCTGGTTCCATCCATTTGTCTGCTACTCTCCTGCCCCAAACCTTCTTGAGGCTGTATGTCCTATTTACAGTTAAAACTCCAGAACATGAATGCTTCCCTAGGCCCTGAATCTCATCCATTTGACTTTCTTCACCCCTGCTTTAGCTTTTGCTGGACCTGTGCAAGTAGCTCCCGTTACTTCTTTAACTATGCCTGGCCTGTGATATGATGCTCTGACTGCTTTCCAAGCTCTCTTCGTTCCTCTGGCTTGCACCAGGCTCTTCCTCCTACTTATGCCTCCTTACCTTGCACCACAGCACCTCTATGGCAGCCCTCACTCACCACTCATTTTAACATGTATGGTCTGGCTTTTTATCTTTCTTCTATACTGGGGTATAATCAGCTCCAGGGTAGAGTTTCATCTGCTTGGTTTATGGAAACAGCCTTAAACTTGGACAGGAATTTTGTGACAGCATATACACCTGTACACAGGTGACTCTGCCTTCATCTGATAGCAACTACTCATCTGATGTTCAGATGGAAGGTGCAAGTAGGCTGAGCACTTCCCCAAGCCCACCCAGGATTAGAGTCAGGTCAGGCTGATTTTAAAGCCCAGTGCCTCCATCATGTCTTAGACTTTCACAGCAGATTCCCTCTAATCCTGTTATCCTCCCTTGGAAGCAGACATGAGGTCACTCTTTAGGACATTTTCAATATTTCTGTTATCTCTATTCTAATCTCCTCTATCTACAGAAACCATGGTTATATAGCTATGCCTCTGCCCCTTGGCCCACAAACATACTGAAGGACCCTGTGACATCTTGCTCTTGTGGAACTCATCTCCCAGATGTGGGGTGTGCTTTCTCAAACCCTTTCCTGTGAGTCTTCTTATGTGGGATACAGTAAGGTCACCCAGTGGGGCAATGGAAGTATCTTTGAGTGCCCAAAGGCAGGATAGTTACTAAAGCATGAAAAGCATTTCCCTTCCTCTGTAAGAAGGTCCATTCTTAGCCATTGAAGACCAGGCCAGGACTGTCATGGGTTGGAATTTGTACATAGCTCCAGGATTGTAAGGCTGGTCCCCCTATTTGTGAGGATTGGCTCCCCAACTTGTGGTATCCATGGGAGTTCAAACTGCTACCCACGCACATAAAGCACCCCCTGAAAAAAAAACATATGGGGTAGGCCCCGTACCCCAGGAGGCCCATTACACAGAGCTCTGAGAGAGTAGAGGCAAGTCCTGGGGTGGATGAGCTAGACTATGGCAAAGCTAGCTAAACAAACACCTTCTTTTTTTCCTACCAGTTTTGTAGACTGGCATAGGAATTATAGGTTCCTATGGTTACTATGTCCCTACATTATAGGCAGGTAGGAACATCTGAACTGAGTCTCTACAATGGATACCAGTTCCTGATAAACACTAGCAGTTTTCTCCTTAAACAAGCAAAAATTTCACATTTATAGCATCTCATCAGCAAATAATATTGCACATAAATAGACGGTTCTCAACTCTTCTAAGCAGTTAGCTATCAGATGGAGGAATCTATACTCTACCCGGCAACACTGGAAGGCTTTCTCAGGTGGCTGTTTTAAAGAACAGTTCCACCTTCCTCATGGACAGGGACAGTAAGAACCAAGGTGCATTGAGTTCCTGTTAGAAACAGTCCTTGTTCCCCTTACTATGGGAAACCAATTGATTACTGAGTTATCACGGGTCACATCCGAGCAGAGGTTCTAGGTTTTATCCTCTCATGGTCTTTGGTTGAGTGTCCATCTCAGAAAAGACCCTGTGCCCAGATATGTTTGGTCCTTGTGGAGCTCCTATCCTTTCCACTTCAATGACTGGCTCTTTGACCTCCCCACCTCCCAAGGGAGGAGCAGTACTATTAGGCCACAGAGGAGGACTTTGCAGCCAGTCCTGAAAATACCTGACAAAACGGAGTCATATGAAAGGGGAGGAGGTCCTCCCCTATCAGTGGACTTGGAAAGGGGCAGGGAGGAGATGAGGGAGGGAGGGTGGGATTGGGGAGGGAATGAGGGATATAGTGGGGATACAGAATTAACAAAATGTAACTAATGAGAAAAAAAAAAGAACCAAGGCGTAGGAGCTGCAGCTGGATTCCTTACTCAGAGGTGTTAGGTCTAGGGGAGAACCAGGACTCAGAGTCTGAGAAATAGTCTAGTGGTAGTCCTTGCTTAAGGGCAGAGGAGAGATGGTCAAAGAAGTCACATGGTTGGCAGGCTGGGGTGAGGTCATGCTGCAGTAGCCCAGAGACCACTTTGTTTTGCCAACATTACAAAAACACAGATGTCACGGATACCAGAGGTGTGGTGAGTCTTGATCTTCAGACCCCCCATTGTGCCAGTGGAATTGCAACTGTGAGCGGGCCAAAATGCCCAAGATATCTATCCTCTGTGTGCTTTCCCTTTGCTTTGAAGACCTCCATTGCTTCTCTTGTGCCCACAGATCTGCACTCAGAGGGTGTGCTGAATAGATGTGTCAGTAATCGCCTACCACTGTCTTTCTGCCAGTGTGATGCCCTGGCCAGTCTGCATGCAAGAGGGAGAATGTAGTTCATGTCAGAGACAGCCCCTGCTCCTCATACTAGCAGACCCACTTGGAGACTGAGCTGCCCATTGGCTACATCTGATCAGGGGGCCTGGGTCCTCTTCCTGGTCATTGGTTGGTGCATCAGTCTCCACAGCCCAAGTTCATGGATCAGTGGGTCTAACATACTAAAAATGCCCATCTTACCAAAAGGAATCTACAGATTCAATGCAGTTCTCATCAAACATCAACACAGTTATTTACAGACCTTGAAAGAACAATTCTCAACTTCATATGGAAAAACAAAACAAAATAAAAAATCCAGAATAGCTAAAACAATCCTGTACAACAAAAGATCTCCATCCCTGATCTCAAGCTGAACTATAGAGCAACAGTAATAAAAACTGTGCTGGCATAGAGACAACCTGGTGGATCAATGGAATCGAATAGAAGATCCAGAAATAAACCCACATACCTATGGACACTTGATTTTTGACAAAGGAGCCAAAACCATACAATGGAAAAAAGATAGCATCTTCAACAGATGGTGCTGGTCTAACTGGGTGTCTACATGTAGATAGATGCAAATAGATCCATACTTATCACCCTTCACAAAATTAAAGTCCAAGTGGATCAAAGACCTCAACATAAAACCAGACACATTAAATCTATTAGAACAAATGGAGAATTCTGATGGCAAATCCCAAGAACACAACACCAATCTTTCTGCTATTTGCTGGGGAACGAGGGCCAGGATGTCACACGGGGCGGGATGAGTGGAGCAGGAGTGGGTGGCGGTGAAGTGAGCGGGGGTTGGGTGCTGCGGACCAGGAGCCCGCGGGCAGCAGACTCACCTGCTTGCTCCAGAGCCACCATGGTGGCCTGCTCGATCAAATCCCGCTCGATGAAGCTCCTGAAGTCCTCGCTGTACACACTCAGGTCCGGCAGCTGGAACGTGTAGATGGGCATCTCCAGGGGGAACTGCTCGTTGCTGCATTCATTCGCCACGTGGGATCGGGCGAGGGAGACGATGGCCGAGCTGGCATGGGAAATTCCCCGGGAAAGTCGCTTCTCTGCTGATGAGAAGAAAGAACAGCCTCAGGGGTCATGTTGCTGTAAATGTGGCTCTGAGGGTGTATGCAGCCATGCTTAAACACTCATGTACACACAGCACATACCACACATATGCAAACATACAGAAATACATAAGTATATACTATGAATAGACAACACACATCTCTCCTCACATAGCACATGTAATATACTTATGTACACTAGAAACACATATATACAAACATACTCATATAGATAGGTGCAAATGTATATACACACCGTACAGTAAAAACACACAACTTCATGCAAATACACGCTGACCACATTTGTGCACACAGCATACAGAACTATCAATAAATATGCCAGACATACAAAAAACAGTTATTATTTATTTTTAAAATTAGATTTATTCATTTTACACGTGTTTTCTCTGAATGTATGTGTGTGTGTACTATGGTGTTTGCTGCCTAAGGAGGCGAGAAGAGCAGGTTGGATCCCTTGAAACTGGAGTATGGATGGCTGTACACTACCATGTGGGAGCTGGGAATCAAACCTGGATCCTCTGTAAGAGCAACAGTACTCTTAACCACTGAGCCATCTCTACAGCCCCAACATGACACTTTTAGACAACACCTTTGTCTACAGACACATATACACAGGCATCCACCATACAGTTTACATATGCATGGACGTATATATGCATATATGCCCACATACATACACACACAGGTACACGAATGTACTGGATACTACAAATATGGACACGTATATCCCCAAAACACACTCATGCGTAGGCACTATACTATGTGCATGTTATACACATACAAACATGGATGTATATGCATACACTACTTATGCTATGTAATATTTACATAGAAAGTATGTAACATGGACACACAGGATACACTGCACACGCAGATGCAGCTATGTGCACGCTGTCCTATACACACATAGGAAGCCACATGCACATCACACACGTGCATACACACTCATATACTTCCCATACCAGGCTTTCTATCTTCTAAGACTCTTCTACCTTGCAGGCCTGCTTGCTGCCAGGGTGAACCTGGGGTGTGGCCCTTCCTCAGTGAGTCACGGAACCACTGAGAGTAGAGCAGCGAGCACACTGACAGGGGCAGCAGGGCTTGCTATTGCTCTTGAGCTCCATTTCACTCCACTCCCCAGAGCCCTCCTCTCCCAGCAGCGAGTGGGACCTGGCACACCATCTTTATTTTCATGTATTTACAAATTTAAAGCGAGCAGCATCCTGCTCAGGTTGTGGCCAGGCCATCCAGACACTGGCTTACTCTATTCATGCTTCTCTGACGAGCATTTTCCAGGTGAGCATCCTGGGGACACACAGACGGAGGCTGTGCATGCCTCCTGTCCCCCTGCATGCTCTTTTTGTCCCAGAACTCTCCGGTACCATGGTCTACTCTGTTCGTTGTTTTTACTGTTTTATGGCTTTGTCCAAAGAATGAGAAATGCAGGGGATCATGTCTCCAAAGCACAGTCTATTACCCTGTGGGAACTCAGGTAACCTGAAGTGGATGCATTTGTTCTCTTGGTGCAGTAAAATATTCTTTAAAAAACAGCTGAGTGCTTAATGGGTAACATTAGCAAAAATCAGAAGTGTTTTTTTTTTTTTTTAAATAGAGCCAAGGCTGGCCTTGAATTTACTATCTTCCTGTCTCAGCCTCCAAGTGCAGGGGTTACAGGTGTGTGTTGGCCCTAAACAATTCTGGAGTGTGTGATGTGGGAATAGTCACCACAGCGTCAGTGTTTGTGGCACGGAACTTCTTACAGCAGAAGTCCTTACTCAGCCCAGGGACAAAGGACCCTAAGTATTTGGGTGTGACTATGGTCAAAACTCTGTGTCAAATTCCTGAGTGTATGCACAAGAGTCAGGAGTTTGTTCACCTTGTTTCAGGCTAGTATCCCTGGTGCAAGGAAATAGCAACTACTGCCTTCATCAGAGCAAGACTTCCTACAGAGCCTCATCTGTAATACCAGTGGCCAGAAATGGCATTAATGCAATTTTGTCAAAACCGACTGGCAAAAACCACAGAGGCCACCAGGAACAAGAAAGATGAAACATGAGGTCCGGCTTGTCCGTCACTCAGAGATGTCCCCATTGCTTCCTGCACTCAGCTCAAATCCTTGACACTCCTTCCCCTCCTTTCTCCAACATGCCAATAGCTGGGCAACGGACACAATGGGTTTAGCCTTTGGAAACAAGCAATTGCATAAAGTGGTTCTCAAAGTTTCCCTGAGGGAAGGAGAAGTATAAAACCTGCGTTAAATCACTCAACGCTCAGTAATCCTAATATTGGATGAATCTCCATAAGAAGAGAAACTCTCTGTGAGGTATCTGTTCTCCCACATGCTCTACAGCATTCTCTGCAACTCTTAAGAAACAGGACCAACACAAGCATCTGTCAGCAGAATGGAGAAAGAAAAATGAACACGTATATAGAAGGGGATAGTACTTATTCATTCAAAGAGTGCAACTGTGTCATTTATGGCAACATGGATGAACCTAAGGAATGAATGCTAAGTGAACTAAGCCAGGCACATCCCACATGTGATTATGCAGAGCTAGAGTGGGAGAGTGGTGAGCAAAGAATGGGTGTGGGAGGGACAGAGGAAACTGAGGTTGGTGACTGGGCACAAAACTGCAGTTGGACAGACGGAGTAAATCTTAATGTTTCATAGTACAGCAGTGACCACAGTTCACAACTTACCGCATTTTTTTAGTCACCAGGAGAAAACATTTTGATTGTATTGAGCAGAAATAATAATAAATGTATGAGATGATAGATGTACTAGCCCTCATCAAGGTATTACACATTGCTAATATACATTGAAATTCTACAGCACCCCATGAACATGTACAACTATTATGTGTCAAACACAAAGGCAAAACTCTCAAGACTGGTCAGCCTGCAGCCCTTTCACAGTTGACTGGAGGACCAGCTAGAGTCCATGCTGCCGGCCTTCTGTCTGGTGCATTCCAGTCTGAGGTGCTGATAATCACGGCACTAGGTGCTGAGGAAGCATATGAGAAAGACAGGCATATATAAGAAAGTAAACAAAGTTCTTATGTCACAGGGTCAGGTCGAATGGATTGAGTTTACAAATGAGCCTAGCAAATGTTCAGAGAAACACAGAGAATATTGGAGTCTGAGATAGTAATAATACTAAGAAATAATTTGGGATGAAAATGTAAGTGTTGACTCTCAATGAACGCCCAGGAAAAAAAAAAGAAGTAGGTTAGAATGCCAAGGCAATCATGTCTTTTAGAAGATATGAAGAGGAGCTTCAAGAAGACAATGGAGGAAGGTTATAAAGAGTTCAGGGAAATGAATGTGAACTGGGGAGTTTTGTTCCACTGAAAATTTTTCAGAAGGTCATGGAAACCTTTTCAGGTACCAAAGGCTTGAGAGGTTCTTGGCAAAAGTAAGATTTGAAGGCAGTATTTGAGGAAATGCTCCTTTTGCAAGAGGGAAATGAATGTCTCTTAATGGTGCCCTCTGAGAAATATCTCCCTGTGTGACTTCACACAGACCTGAGTAGTCCTGCCCAGGCTTTCAGTGTGGCCTCTTTATGCTACTGAGAGGCGAGGTAAGTGCTGAGGGGCAGCTAGTATAACCTGCACTTGGACAGTAAACCATCTTGCCATTAAAATAACAATAAAAAGTGTAGTATGGAAGATATGTAAATACGAGATGATATTCACTGTGGCATCGATTTTTTTATTACCAGTCCTTTATTACACCAGGTGCTACGCTGCGCTGTCATGTGACGAGTAGAGCAGGCCTGTTGCCAAATCCTAAGCCATATGTTATGGCATTGTTCCAAGGTTAAGATTCTTTTGGCTTTCTTAGGATCTTATGGGGTTACTGTTGATATTATATATAGTTTGTCGTTTGCAAAATGTTTTGAGCACATGACTTTAAATATGAACAAAGAAAGAGGCTGACTTTTGCCTAAATAAAAACAGGTAATGAAAAGAGTGTAAATGTAATTGAGGGCCTGGCAGTAGGAGGGGTTAGAGGCATATGACACACAGTTCTCAGGGTGAGACAGTGCTTAGAAGGTTTGAGAAAGAAAACCTAAACACAGGCTTTAAAAGGACAGTGGGAACTGACAGATGAGTAAGAGTGGAACATAGAAACTTTAAATAGTAGGGGGAAGAGCCTAACAGACAGAGAAGGAAAAAATACACACGAGCTTGACAAATAAAGCAGTCAGCATACACTATTTCTATTTTATATAGTTATAGTGCACATAGAGTACACACTGTACGCAGTATAGGTATAGATATGAGATAAAGTAAACTAAATGGAATAAATTCTTTACTCAAGAGAAAGGCTCCAAGGCCTGGAGAGATGGCTCGGCGGTTAAGAGCACCTGCCGCTCTTTCAGAGGTCCTGAGTTCAATTCCCAGCACCTACATGACAGCTCACAACTATTTATAATGGAATCTGATGCCATCTTCTGGTATGCATGCATACATGCAGATTGAGCATTCATTCATTATATATATATATATAAAAAAAGGTTCCTTTGAATGATTAAATTAATGGTAAATTGTCTTCAAGAATCATTCTTAGAATTGGTGCTGTAATTCTAGCATAGATGAGGCCCAATAACACATATACACACACACACACACACACACACACACACACACACACACCATATTCAATGCTGAGAACAGGAAAATATTCTTCCCCAGAAATGAGCCCCCTAATTAGGGTTATCCAAAACTTAAGTAGTCAGCCCTGAAATAATAAATCATATACATATTAACAGTGCTAAATAGACTCAGCAGGTTGTGTTTACGTATTTGTGTGTATATGCATGCAGCATGTATATAATAATAATAATTAAAGAAAAAAAGGCTATGTACTTAAGAGAAATGAAAAGAGGAATGGGAGGGGTTAGATGAAGGAGGGAAATGATATAATTATACTTTAAATAAAATTTTCAAATAAAAAAGAAATCATTATATCTAATTACAAATAAGATATCGAATTCTCTTACATGGTATGATTTCCCTGTGATGATAACCCAGGTCATCCTCTCAGAACCACTAGTACTAAGGAGTCAATGTACTTATGTGGATGCCTGGAAAGCAGGTAAGTACAGAATGACTTGCTTTCTCCTGTGTCTAGCCTTAGTAGAATCCAAATATGAGAAGAGCAACAGTATTGGGTGCAAGAAACTCGGCAACTTGAAAAGAACAGGACTCCACTCAATTACAATTAGAAGTGCAGTAAGGCTTACATGGAAGCATAGTTACATCAAAGCTATGAAAACTTGTGGAAAGGCAGAGTTTGCATTAGAGAGTAATGATAGGAAACCTACAGACTCAAGGAGAACAGACAGACAGCTGCATGCTAGACACAGAGGGTTCACAAACAGATCCTGGGAGGGCTGGGACTTTAAAATATGGTCCAGCTAGTATTTAGTCAGGAGGGGAAAGGGAGAGGTGACCTGATCAATGTGAAGGGAGGAAGCATTCTATTCAGAAGACAGCAGCCTAGAGACTTTGTTATTGTTTATAAGGATTGCAAATGGATGGAAACACCCGAGGACAAAATTGACAGATCATAGGAAAACACTTTATTTTATTTTTACTTTTTGGTTTTTCAAGACAGGGTTTCTCTGTATAGCCTTGACTGTCCTTTGTAGACCAGGCTGGCCTTGAACTCACAGAGATCTTCCTGCCTCTGCCTCCCTGAGTGCTGGGATTATAGGTGTGTGCCACCGAGCTGGAAAAAGGTTTATTAACCATGCATTTTTGTTTCTAAATCCAGAGCAGAACTCACACGCTGGGCCATTAATAATGTTAACATTTCTATAGAAAGAACTCTTTTGAACACAAAGTCATCAGGCAAATGACACAGTGGCAAATACACACGGGCATGGGTAGAATCCTCATAGAGAAAGCTACAAGTTGATAAGGAAAAGCATACCAACTGATGGAAAAATGAACCACACGAGGAAACAGTCATGTAGCAGAGGAGAAGGCCAATTAACAGGCAAAGTGGAAGTTAAAACAAGATTCTGGTTTTCACCCTTCAAACTACACAACAAGGCAAAGCCATAGCAACAATATACAGAGCTGGCAGGAGCAGAGGGAAGCACTGGGTTTGGGCACAGTGAGCAGAAACACAATCAGGAAGATGTTTATAGGCAATCATTGCAAGGCCACTGCATGGCACCAGCCTGCAGGGAGCAGAGCACCAACATGAGATATATAGGACTAAGCATTTAAAAAAATATTTATTTATTTTCATTTCCTCCTGTGTGTGAGTGTCTTACCTGCATGTGTGTATGTGTAACACCCGAGAGCCTGGTGCTCTATCAGGCCAGACTAGTGCATCAGATCTTCTGGAGTAACAGACTGTTGTCAGTTGCCAGGGAGGTTCTGGGAATCCAGCTCAAGTCCTCTGGAAGAGCAGCCAATGCTCTCAGAGCCTCTTGACAACAACATTTATCATGGATGTGTGGGGGTGGGGTGGGGCACTGGACAACCAACTGGCAACAAAAATGGAAGAAAAACCAGGACAGCCATTTGCACACACCGTCTAAATATACGACGTAACAAAACGTAGCAGCCAAGAGTTGTGTTTACTGCTCAGGAAAGTAAGCAAATTATAAGCAACATGTCTTCCTGACCTTTGCACCTTTGAACAAACATAGGAGAAGAAAGTACACTTGGATGATCAATGGCTATTCATAAAGTGAGAGCTAGGAGATGAGACCAAAAAAAGCCTTTCAAGTTTCCTTTTATAACCACTGCTACAAGTCTATTTTAGACTGACGATGGAAAAGAACAATAGAGAAGAAGAAACTCATGGAAGAATGAATATGCTACTGAATGACCTGAAGACTAAGCTGGAGGTAACTGGAGGACTAGAGATGTCTGTCAGGAAAAGCAGGACTGCCCAGTGGATTGCATCAGTCACACCCTCCTTCCCAGGGAAGGCAGAAGTCACAGACTCTACTACAAGGAGCAAGGCATTGGGGGTTCAGTTTGCCTCAGCCTGGTGATGCTGACCACATGGACAAGCCCCACAGCTGGTACCTTGGGCAATATCGTCCTGCCTCTGCAGGCAGGGCCGCTCCACCTTGTGCCCAGGCTGGGGCAGTTCTCGCTCCGGCTGCTTGGCGCACCTCCCTTCGTTGAACACATGTGGCAGGTTGGCTGTGTGCACCTGTCGGAGTTGCTCATAGTCGCTTAGAGCAGCTGTCAGGTCCCAGTTCTTGCCTGTGGGTAAGAAATGACAGGAGATTATAACAGAATGGGAGGAATCCTGGCTTTGCTGGAGAGAAGGTGCCAATCAGCGTGTTGATGAGCAGTGTCTGAAAGTAGACTTTGACTCCCATAACTGATGACCTGAAATATGTGAGTACAGCTCCTCACATCACCTTTCCTTAACGCGTGTGCGTGCACGCGCACACACACACACACACACACACACACACACACACACCTGTAAACAGTATGCCTCTAATGACAATCAAAGTGTAGCACTTAGCGTATGCCAGGGAGGAAATTTAGGCCACACAGCACTGGTTTTGGACACTTGAAATGGAGCTGAGAAGTCTTACAGGTCAGGTTTCCGGAAGAGCATGGCCTAACTTCTGAGTTGTCGGCACACAATGCCACTCAGGGACATGCTGACTTTGGAGACTGCCATTCTGGAATGATCACCCTTCTGAGGGCTTATGGATTCCCTAAGGTCTCACCCACGAGAAGCAGCTGGAGGACTAGAGATGTCTGTCAGGAAAAGCAGGACTGCCCAGTGGACTACCCAGCCTTGAAGTCTGAGCCCTATTCTTTCCTCCTGTACCCTTACCTGTGAGTTAACCTCCTGGGAAAGAAGTAGAGGAAGGAATAGGCCACGACACAGCCATCTGGCAGAACCTTTGCACATATTTGCAACACTGCTCAGCTCCAGTATCTTCCAGATCACAGTCCCACCAAAGAATGATTAGGTGAACTTAATCATTCTTTGTCCTTAACCAAGGTGATTTCATCTTGGTCATGAGGAACAAAGCACCGAATGCTAAAAGAACAAATAGAACTCTCAGTTTGTAAGGCGTTTGCTCAGCCTTGCACAGAAGTGCAGAGGTGCAGCTTGGGCTGCTTGCTCTGGCTGGCGCTTCAGCTGTAGCCCCATGAGCACTACAGCATGCTCAGCTGCATACAGGGATGATGAACATCCCAGCAGGGCCAGGGCTGGATGTTGCTCTTAGCATATTCTCAGTTGTTACATTTTATCAATGGAGACTAAGGAGCCAGGTGCTAGGGTGAAATCCTGCTAGCTCAGAGAGCCAGAGAAAGCACACAGTTGACCTTCCTTGTCAGTTCATGTCCCCAAACTGAATGCTCCTCCCTTCTACTTCCTGTGTACCTCCCTATTCCCTGTTCTCCTCCTGATTTGTTCTTACTCTGTTTTTTCCTATGTTCACTCCCTGTCAACTGGTTGCTTGCTCCGTCTCTTGACCTAGGGTTTAATTTTATTTAATCCTGTTTACAACATTCAAGCAGAAAACTCTTGGATTAAAGGTGTGTGCTAGAGCTGAGCCACACCACAACTAGGTTTTCCAGTAAACAACACAGTATGATCAAAGATCCTGCAGCCAGCAGCGGGATGCTGATACAGAATCATGCTATTTCCAGTACCAGGGGCGCAGGCTTTGGAGGACTTCTTCAGTGACTGTGATGAAGAGCTTGAACATAACAGACTCCATTTTGTCACTGGCCTCCATCTTATACATGACCTAAAACTTACCCCTGCTTCAGAAAAACTCCTGTATCAACTGCAACATTTCTGCGAATGACCACAAAACGTGCCAACTCTGAAACTAGCTGTTCAGAAAACAGGTCACAATTATATGTTATCATTATGGTTACCAAAATAGTTACTCCAGCTAGTTACAGCTTGCCTCTAGCCAGTCACCATGTAACAAGCTTGCTCTTGTTAAACATCACCAGGTCCTGTAACTGTCACGTCTGGAAGCCCCTTTCCCTTGCTAAAAATCCTATAAAACCTAGCTTCTTTCCAGGTTCGGCGCTCCTAGCCTCTGACTGCTATGTCAGTTTATGCTGGGAGCCTGAGCTTAAGCTCAGAAAATAAGTAAAGAAACAAACAACACCATAAGTATATTTCAAAGGCTCTTTGCTTTTGCATACAATTTCTGACTCCTGGTGTGGTCGATGGTCTTTTGGGGTCTCGCAAACTGGGCACAACAGTGACAGTGACATTATATAGCCTTGGGTTCCTTCTCTGTACAACTGAGTTAATAAAATCCACCTGATGAGAACTCTTATGAAGGCTAAAGGACACACAGAGATGGTGTTTTTAAGTACTCAGCATATGGAAAGCACTTAGTAAATGTTATTAATCAAGACAACATCCATATTAGTTGTTAGGAACAGTTAGCCCAAACCATCTGGGTTACTCACAAAAAAGGGTAATATATTTGGTGGAACTTTATGTAGGTGAGAGGAGGGGGTGCCAATGTTATGTGGACCTCCTTCTTTGAATGTAGGTATGGGCGGGTGGTGGTCATGACAACAAACAGAAGAAATTATAGACTGTACAATCACAGTGTTCCAATCCACTCATGTGACAAAACTTGGGAGTTTTCCTCATTACTTATTGCCATTATCACCATTCAGTGTAGGTTTTTGCTCGTGTCTGATTTATATTGCTTTCATCAAAATCTCTAGTGCAATCTACAGCTATGCTATATGATTAAACTTCTAATTTATTTATGTTTGTGTGTCTCCCTACCTGATGCATATATGCAGAAAGGCAGGCAGGACATGAGGTGACCCAGGCCCTGGCAGCATAGACCAAGAATCAAAGCTGTCTCAGAATGAAGTTAAAGTATGAGGAAAAGAAAAGCAGACCACAGTCAGAAGAGTTGGAACCATAAGCTGGAAAAAATAAAGGGATAAAATTAAACAAAAAGAAAGAAATGGGGAAAGAGATAGGAATATAAATAATGTGACAAACTGTTTCTCTGAGGTAGAAAGAAAATAAGTAAAGAGACAACCCCATGAGTATAGTTCAAAAACAGGATGTGTAAAGAATAGAAAAAGAAAAGAATAAAGAACTTTAAAAATCAAAGTTTGTGAGGCTGGAGAGATGGGTTAGTGGTTAAGAATGTTTGTTGCTGTTCCAGATGACCTGGGGATCAGTCCCAGCACCCAAGTCCAGGGGCTCACAGCTGCCTGTAACTCCAGCTCCAAAGGGTCTGACACTCTCTTATGGCCTCTGTGAACATCCACACACATGGCATACATGAACACACACATATACATAAACAAACATAATTTTAAATAGGCAATTTACTAAAATGAAATTTGGTTCTATTTAGTGAAGTAACAGCTTTTAAATGTTGACTATTTTTATTATAGTCAATATTAAATTTACATCAGAATTTACTCTTCTAAAATCACCATGTTCTAGAGATAAACATTTAAGTGAAAAGGAAAATCAATCTGGCAACATTTTTCTTGGAAGCGGTATTCAAACCCAGGATATCACAGGATTGCAACTACATGATATTAAACAAGGGAATGGGTCTGAGCTAGGAGCACTTTATACCTTAGAGCTGGAACAAGGTCCCACATCATGAAAGTGTGCATGAACCTAATGTCCAAGGTCTATGTTAAGCTACCAAGAGAATGGAAACTTAATCTGACAATGGTCTCAGAGGTGAGGTATTTGGTGACAAGTATATTAGGACATTAGAGTGGAACTCCCACAACTGAATTCTGCGAGCTTTATGAGAAGAGAGTGAGTATGTGCATGCACACACACACACACATACACACACACACAGATATACACACACTCATAAACACACATGTATTGACACACATAAAAACACACAGGTACAAATACAATCATATGTATAGACTACACACAGATAAACACACACATACAGATAATGACACACATGCATGGATACACACACAGATGAATACACACATGCACAGATATACACCTACAAAATCTCTGTGTCTTACACACACACACACACACACACACACACACACACACACACGAGTCACACACATTTCTACCATGACATGAGGCAGCCTAGAAGACCCCTTGTAAGAGCCCATCCAGACTGCTGGAACTTACAGCTTCTAAAATTAAAGAGGAGAGAAGCTGGGAGAGAAGGAGGATAGAGCATTTATTGAGGCATAACCTGGGAAATTAACTTAATTGTCTAAAGGAAAGATAAAGAAGATAGAACAGGAAAGCAGACTTAAAAGTAGCCATTAGTCAGTAGATGCAAGTTTTCTAAATACCAGAAAAATATTTTAAGACAAAAGCTAAGAAAACATAGTGTTGACATTTAAATTACTCACAGATTAAATTGGAATATATGACACAACCTATCTTATTTCCACAGCAGCATGGGAGTAGGCTTTAACAAACCAGTTAAGGAAAAGGAATGAATACTTACAGTATATAAAAGAGACACATAGTGGTAGAGGCCTGAGCTCCTTAGTGGGCTGAGGCAGGAAGATTACACTTTCTTTTTTTCTCACTAATTAATTAGATAATTAATTTACTTTACACCCTGATCAGAACTTCCTCTCCCTCCTCTCCTCCCAGTCCCTACCTCTCACTTCCCCTGCCCTCCCCCTATGCCCTCCTTTCTTTCTTCTCAGTATAGCAGGATTACACTTTCAGGGCCAGCCTGGGAAGGCTAGTCTTGGACAGCTCACTGAGACTATCATGTGGAAAAAAAAAAAAAAAAAAAGCTGGGGACGCTAGCTTAGGCATTGTACTGGCGGAGCATGTCCAAATCCCTAGGTTTAATATATAATACTGCCAAAACAAACAAACAAACAAACAAACAAAACCAAAACCAAAACAAAAACACCGAAAGCAAAGCTAAAGGCTACTACACGATACCTACCAGACAACAAGACAATAGCAATAAGCTTCTGCTCTTGTAACAACACAGAATTCAGGTCTAAATCATTAAATAATAAGAAGAAAGCAACCTGGTTGGGCCTAAGGGTTCAATTTACAACAGAGACATATTCATTGTTCTTCATATTCTGTATTTGTGATGTGTGGGCATCCGAAGAGGCTCTCCCTCTGCAGGGCTCCACTTCACACCCTGCCTTCACTGGCTGTTACATGCCGCAGATGCCCCTGCCCTGTATCTTTCTCAGGCATGCTAGGATACCAATAACTCATGATGGTTTCTAACCTTGGAGCCTCCTGA